GCCTCCTCCCTGCCCCCTGCCACCTCCCCCAGGTCTGACTGGCTTTCCCCAGCTTGAGATGCTGCTGGCTGCCCTTGGCCCCCACAGACTTTCTACATATGGCTGGAAAAAAGACTCGATTGGACTAAGTGCAGCAAGCCCTCTCCCTGTCCCTCCAGGTCTGATTGTGCTGGCCACAATCACCCCTGAATCATCGCTGGACTCAGGCCATGAAACCAACTCTTCGGAGCTCACAGACATGTCGGAGATGATGTCGGCCATGAAGCAGCACCAGAACACCACCTACTTCCTGGCCCAGCACCTCAACAAGGATAGCCTCCTGGCTCGCAAGGACCTGCCCTTCCGGATCCAGAGCTGTTCAGCGCAGGCTGTACTCACGGCACCTTACTCTCTCGGGCGCCCAGATCCCAACCCATCCCTGCAGCCAGCGGTGACAGGCCAGAGTCCGGGCCCCCCTGGCGCTCGGAGGAAGCTGCCCCAGGTGGAGTCGCAACCACAGCGAGAGCGAACCTACACCCTGGCAGTGCACCCAACATTGTCCCCACAGCTTGGTGAGCAGAAGAATCTGAGCCTGCTGTCCCCAGTTCCTGAAGACAAAGGGCCTGGCCACACTAGGGCAGGCCTGGAGATGTCACTGAGGGCTGCCACGCCATCCCTCAGTGACGAGCAAGTCTCTGAGCTAAGGGAGAATCTTCCCAAAGAAGTCAGGTTGAGCCCCAAGCTTATCCTCGACCCAAAGGGCAGCGTGACCCCAGCTATCATCTCAGCTGCCCTACAGCAGGTGGTTCACACTAAGAGCCTCCCTGCCCCTGGCGGGGCCCTGGGGAACCCTCCCAGCAGTGGGGAGAGAAGGCTGGAGGCCAGCATGGGGAGGCCAGAAGTTAGCATGATGAGCGGTAGTGCCAGTAAGAATCTGAAGTTCAAAATGAGCCCCAGTGCTCCAGAGACGTCACGGAATTCCCAGCAGCAGCTGAGCCCAGAGGTCTCCTCTGGCTCCAGGGTGCCTGCAGGCAGCCGGGGTGACAGCCTGCATCTCTCCCCACAAGAGGACAGGCTGCCTGTTCAGAGTGTCCCGCCTAAAAGCTACCTTTCCCGAGCGAGTCGAGAGTCACTGAGCAACCCATGCATAGGGGAGGTGGCAGGCAAGGCCGGGCCCGAGGGTGCTAAGCCTGCCCTGCACAAGCCGGGCACCGTCTCCAGCCAGGGGGAGAAGGGGCAGCTGGAGAGCATGCCCCAAAGCAGCAAGATGGAGGAGACCAGCCTGGTGCCCCGAGCCGGCTATGCCATGGCTCTACAGAGCCCCAGCTGCCAGCCGCAAGGCCACAGCCCCAGCAGCCAGTCCCGAGGCCAGAGCCCCAGCTGCCACCCTCGAGGCCAGAGCCCACTGAGGCCCCAGGCTGCCAGCCGGCAGGTGAGCACCATGCCCTCCAGGAAGCTCGAAACAAGCCTGGATGGAGCCCACTCAGCCCCCGAGGGCCCCGCAAAGCCCAAATCATCCCGAGGGCCCTTCCGGCTCCGCAGTTTATTCTCTGCCACCTTTCCGACTCGCCAGAAGAAGGAGACCGATGAGCGGCAGGCCCAGCTGCAGAAGGTGAAGCAGTATGAGCTAGAGTTCCTCGAGGAACTCCTAAAGCCGCCGAGCCAGGGGGAGCTGCCAGGCACCGAGTACCTGCAACCCCCAGCCCCAGGCCGCTGCAGCTGCCAGCTGCGCAGCAGCCCAGTGCAGCAGGGGCCTGGCATGTCCCGTGAGCAGAGGCGCAGCTGTGACTGCAAGCGCATCTGCCGGGGGGGCCGGCCCCAGGCCCCCCAGACGCCAGTGCCCGGCCTCCGGGGGAGGGAGAGGGACAGGGTCACCCCGACCCAGAGGCAGCCAGAGGCTGGCCCAGGCCTGAGCCTCAACAGCCCCACCACTGTCGGGCGCATCCGCTCCACCAGCCTGGAATCCCGAGAGTGCCGATCGGACCCCGAGAGTGGTGTGTCCTGCCTGACCACGTGTGCCTCGGGGGGTGAGTGCCTGGGAGCTCCCAACTACAGGAAACTGATGCGCCGCTACAGTATCAGTGAACTGGACCAGGGTGACAGGGCCTCTCTGACCTCGGACATCTATCCACACCCACCCCTGGGCATGCTGCCCAGGGAGGCCAAGGAGGTAGAAGCAGGTCTCCCCTTAGGCCTGGGTCCCAAAAACAAGTCACTGGAGTCACCGACCCTGGGAGACCCCTCATACGTCCAGGTCGCCCCTGAGACCAAAGGCCCCAGACAGATGGCAGTGTTCTCACTGCCAGAAGAGGTGTACCAGAAGCCTGCCGATCTGGACGAGGACAGTGAGGGCAGCAAGTGCTGCTCTATCCGCTACTGCTTCTATTACCGCAAGTGCGATATGGCAGATGATGCCAGTGATGGCAAGGACGAGCTCTCCTACTCCATCCCAATGAAGATTCTGCCTGGCATGAAACTGGACGAGCAGGTGGTGCCCGTGGTGAGCAGGACCCTGCAGGTGCTAGATGCCGCCACCTGCAGCAGCAGCAGCCCTGAGGCCGCCCACACCCAAGAGATTGACCTCCGGGTGTCCACCTTCGAGGGCAGCCTGGCCAAGATCAATGCCCTGCGGGCCCATGCCTATGGCCTGCCTGATGGTTTCCTGGCTGCCCGACTGGACACCAACGAGCTGCTAACGGTCCTGCGGCAGTGCGTGGCCAGCCCCGAGGCCCGCGCCCCTAAGCCCTATGTCTCTCAGATCTCTGAGTACAAGCTCGAGCTGGCTCTCAAGTTCAAGGAGCTCCGGGCCTCCTGCCGCCGCGTGGCCAATGTGGACAAGAGCCCGACCCACATGCTGGCAGCCATCACGGGCAGCTTCCAGGTGCTGAGCAGCCTCATCGAGACCTTTGTGCGGCTGGTGTTCATCGTGCGCTCTGAGGCCCAGCGCCAAGAGCTGCTGGCCAAGGTCGAAGAGGTAGTGAGGAACTACACCTTCCTACTGCGTGCCGCTGAGGAGTCCACCACCCGGAACCTTAACCAGCAGCAGCAGCAGCAGCAGCAGCAGCAGCAGCAGCAGCAACAGCAGCAGCAGCAGCAGCAGCAGCAGGCAGCAGCTATAGGGGCGGCCACAGGGCACCCACCGGGCTCCCCAACGTCAGCGACTGTTATGAGCACATTCACCCGCTCCTTAAAAACCCTTATCAAGTAGGGCATCCGCCCAGGCCTGCCCCTCCTTTCCCCAACCACAGCCCCAGGTTTAAGCTTTGTGGTCTTTGCATCTTGTGGTGAGTGTATGTGTCTGCTGGGCCAGTCAGGGTCTGAGAGCCTTCAGTCTTTGGGGAGCGGAAACTCCCCGGATTGAGGCTGTTCCTGAGGGCTCCGGGCAGCCACCACCCTGGGTATCCTCACCCCTTCCCTGGCCTCTGGTTGTCACTGTGAGGGCCAAGGCCCCTCGTCACTATGCCTGCCTGCCGCAGAGCTGTATTTTATCTCTTCTTTAGGGCTGACAGGTGACATCAGGCTCACCTTCCTGCTCCATTTTGGGGCCCCGGGGAGCCAGGGCCTGAAGCAGGCAGGCCCACAGGCCTTGAGCTCCTCCTGGCATCTGCTCCCCTCTGGGGAGCAGTGGCAGTAGCACCAGGGCACAGCGCCCAGCGGAGGGGAAAGGGCACTCGGCCCAGATGTGCCCGCCCACCCTGGGCTCACACTCACTCGGCAGAAGCCACCCTAGAGGGCCTGTGCCCAGGTGGCAGGTCTGCAGAAAACAGCTACGCGGGCTGTTTGTAGCCAGCCCAAGAGGCTGGCAGGCTTGGGAGCCCTCGCCCCCAGGCCCAGTAGCTCCACACCAGCCATCCCCAAAGTGCCCTGTCCCTCACTAATGGGCAGGGTGGCTCAGTCCACTAGGGAGCAAGCATCTGGGTTCACCCCACTTGTTCTGGGTAAGGTACCTGGTGAAAATGTCTGCCCTGGGGAGACCCAGTGCAGGCCTCGGAGCCCGACCGGCCCAGCCCGGCCCAGCGCAGAGGCTGTTGCCACAGGCGTGCGGTTCCTCTCTCAACATCTACCAGACGGACTGTCCTTAGGAGTTTGACTTAGCTACGGATTGGGGATGGGGGGGTGGGGGGAGGGGGGGGGGGGGGGGGGGTGTCGATGACTATATCTTAAACTTCTGGAAGCTAGCGTGATATGTTAATCCCGAGTATATGCTTTTGGCTGTGTATTGACCCTGTGGATTTGTCTCTCTAAGAAAAGAAGCTGAGCGCCTTACCCGGTGCAGTCCTGCACCTCTCTCTCTCTCTCTCTCTCTGTCTGTCTCTCTCTCTGTCTCTCTCTCTGTCTCTCCGGAGTCATCTGGAAGGGAATTCACACTGTTTAGCATCCTCCTTGACACACATCTACTGCTGGCGCCACCCACCGCCCCCTCCCCCACAACCTTCCTGGGAGTGAAGACACGGAGTCCCTACCAAAGGTCCCCCTGTAGGGAACAAAGAAAGCCAATGTTTCTTCTGTATAGATTGTTTCTTGTCCACCTCTCCATACCTCCCGTTTGCCACACGCTCGTGCCCTGTGTCTGCCTCTCTTTCATCGTTACATGAGAGGTTGGTGTGAAATCTCTCATTCTTACGTGAGTTTTATAAAGATGTACACTGTGCTTAACCCCTGCCCAGCGCAATAAAGCCCCCTCCCCCCCCCCCACCACCGAGTGGTAATTTCTCCTGGCAAGGATTAGGGGAGCTCCTTCTGCAGGAGCCAGCACCCCCCTTCCTTGTTTTTCCTCCCACAGGACCAAGTTGTTTAATGGGCCAGAGATGCAGCCAGTGGGGAACCCCTTTCCCTCCGTGACCACTGCAAGCCTGAGCGCTGTCGTGGTCTTCCTCTTCTCCCAACTTCTTGATCCTGCACCTTTGCCACTCAGGCCCTGCCTGTGTCATTTCACCGCCATCCTTTACCTCTCCCTCAGCCTCACGGAGAGGACACATTTTCTAATGTCTGTATATAGTATATATACTACATAAATATATATAAATTATATATATATATATACTAATTTATGTCTTGTTTTTCAAACAAGAATGATTAAATCTATTCATCTTACTATCCCACTACGTCTTTGCAGTGCCTCTTTGTGGGTGTCCTTGTGTCATTGAATTCCTTGTTGGTGGCGCACCCCCACTCACTGAGAGCTCTCTCTAGCTTCTGCTCCCTTCTACCTGAGCCTCAGTGAGCGATGAGAGCTTAGGACCTTGCTTAGAAGCCTCCTGTCGGTGGTCACTAGAATTGAAATACTGTGTACTCCTTTCTCTTGACCCTGGCCATGACCTCAGAGATGAAGGAGGCAGGGGGCGGGGTTGGGGGGGCGCAGAAACACAGTGCACTCTGTGCATAGCACACCTGGGAGTATGCCTGGGAGTTAAGGAACAGACAGAAGGGTTTCTGGCCAGCTCTCAGGGTGGAACTGGGAAATGGGGCCTCTTCCTCTGAAATGTGTCCAGTTGCCTCAGAGTGTAGCTTGACCGCCTTATTATTGTTGTGAATCCCTTGTGATGCCCACTGGCAATTTATCGGAGGGGTGGAGGTGTTTCAAAAGGATAGGAACAACAGGACCCTAACCAGGGCTGGCCTCTCCGGCTTTTCAGAGAGTTATCTGATGGAGAGAAATGATTTTGCTTCTCCTGCTCTCTTACTTTCTTCTGGTAATCACAGGTCCCCACTAGCCTATGAGGCACGTTTGTGCCAACTAGATAAATGTTCGCCCTGCCATACACATCCCCATGTTGAATTAGAAAGAAAATCATCCTCTGGGTGATGCTAGCCCTGTGGGCACATGGCTTCATCATCTCAGCTCCATCCAGCCCCACCAGCCTTGTTGGCCGGGTACACAAATGATACAACTGTGTACTGCGGCCCTGAATAATCACTTCCAAAGACTAGACACAGGCCCTCTTCTCACGTCTGCACAGGTCATGGCCCAAGTGATTTGGGAGTGGAGCACAGAGGAGAAGTCAGAAAAAATGCAGCGAGAGCTCCCCTCTGCATGCAGAAGGCCCTAGGGGGGACAGGCCTAGCCATGGTGACAGAGCTCCTCTGGGAGTTCCCCACCAGGTATACTATCCCACAACCCCAAGGCCGGGACTCAGTGGAAGGCAGTGCCAATGTAAAGTGAGACTCACTACTACTTAAAATTACCTAACTTGACAGTCCAGAAATTTGGGGTCCCCCTCACCCTGCACCACACTGGTAGCTCCTTCTGGTTCTATACCCTGGGAACCCATCTACACAGTACCCTGCACGTAGGGCTTCAATAATGATTTGCAGAATGAGTGAGTGTTGCATGAGATGACCGTCACGAGAGAGCCTTCCCAGACCTCTGTACCTCATGAAAAGGGCCCTCTGCCCCCTGGAAATAGCTAATCCAGACCAGTGCAGCTGGATGAGGCTGGACAGCCTGGCCTCCTATCAAAGAAGACGTCAGGTCAGTCATCCAGTGTCCCATTAACTCAGTGGACTTTCACAAACTACTTTCTGGAAGCTTTGGAAACTCTCCTGAGGTGACCAGTGGTCTCCTTTTCTGTGGACCCAGGACCTCTGTGCAGTATCCGGAAGCACTGGGGGAGGCCATCTTTCCACCAGGGTCTACTTGCCATCTTTGGCCTGAGCCAGAGCCTGATGCTGGTGCTCTTCAGCCACCCCCTACCAGACCTGAGTCCCCAGAGCCCAACTCCTGTTTTCTGGCTTCAGCCAATTAAAGGAAAATGGAGGCGCCTGGGTGGCTCAGTCAGTTACGTGTCTGACTCTTGATTTTGCTCAGGTTACACATGATCTTAACAGTTCGTGGGATCAATCCCTGCATGAGGCTCTGTGCTGACAGCGTGGAGCTTGCTTGGGATACTCTGTCTCCCTCTCCCTCTCTGCCCCTCCCCAGTTCATGCTCATGCATGCACACTCTCTCTCTAAATAATTTTTTTTATAAAAAGGAAAATGGGTTCATGCTGTTGCCATGGACCCAGGATGACCATGGTCCTGGCAGAGACACATTTTTTTCAAGCTGTTGTCAAAGCACTATGGATAATAGGCAGTTTCATCAGAAATGAATTGAAAGCTTGCTCTCTCTCTCTCTCTCTCTCTCTCTCTCAAAATAAATTTAA